GCGGCCTTAATGCGATTCATATTTCATTTCAGCCATTGAAAGACATTATTTTCATTGACAATTCTTCGTTTCCATTACATCTATCTACAATTCTCGTTCGGAATTGTTTCAGCCAAAATGTGGCGCAATTAATATTGTTGATACAACGGCGGAATATTGAACAATGGTAGCTTTAGCTTGTTGCTGGGTAATCGACACAGTGAATCATAAACTATTTTGAGCATACTGTGCTTTCCAAGCCAACTTCCGTCCATCAAAAGTGACTACTGCCTCGCAGAAGTGGTTCGCTGTAATTAAATACTGGATATGTTGCTCTACGTTCTTACATATTTTAAGTGTATATCTAAGCGAAAGTTCAACTGTTTTCCGTGAATGAGGTGAAACCGCGCTACCACAAATTGCCCCGTTTTGCCAGTTCCCTGATGCATGGACCTATACAGCTGAAAACATTTAATTGTTTCGAAACTTGATTGAAAACTTTTCCACTTTAAAATATGTCCCTAATTCATTAAATTGTATGCGAGAAAGCGAGCGAGCGAGAGTGAGGTAGAAATGGAACGATAGAGAGAACGTTGCTAGGTTTTTTAATGCCATAAGTGTTGTATGCGTTCAAGCATTAAATCTTAATAAAAGGCAAATAATGTATGTGATGCCTTTTACCGGGCAACAACAAAGCCTTAGAAGAATCACAGCAAGAACACTAGTTTGGATGATGGCGGGATACACATATAACACTTTTAACTTCACCAGAAACCAACTTTAGATTTGTTCGACTATATTTGCAAAATAATATATTAAAATGGGATGAACCCTTGTTTTGTTCACCTGCAATTTGGCTTGGATTACTTCATGCTCCATGCTCAAAACCACTCATGGTTTGTACACAAAGGCTGCATTCGTTCGTTTCAATGAATGCTACTTAAGAATGCCATGGCAAGCATCAAAACAAAAGATTCATTTCAGAAAGAATTTCACGAAAAATCTCTCTGGCTTGTCAGAATCTGCACAAAATTTACAAATGCCGCAATGGCCCAAAACTATAATTGCAACAGTTCCAAGCTAGAAATTTGTTTGCTCTGTGCTGTACCGTACTGATTTACCGTTCGCAACGCTCAAATTGCAAATCCATTAAATATGGATGCATATAAGAATGCAAACAAATATCGCAGTTATTTTGCAGATATTTTCCGAATCGTTGGCGAGAACATTGTCCAAATCATCAAAATGGAAAAGCTCACAGCTTGTGTTGACTTTGTGAGCATGCAGGCAAAAATAATTACTACACACAAGAAGCGAATCTACGCAATAATGGATTTTGATTGAAACTCCACCAATGCAAAGTGTTGTTTTGTCCTGTATATATCATGTAAATTTATCAAATTATCCAAAGTTCAATGCCAGAAACGTATTCGATGCATATAAACACTCACACAAAACCATGCCAGCTCATTCCACCGTGCATTTGTTGTTGTGTCAAATGAAAACTTTTGTGACTCCAACCGAATATTTCATTATAACGTTTCGGGGATTCTCTTCTTCGTTCGGCATATAACATTCTACGAGACGGGTTCGTGTGTCTTTTATCGTTTTCTGTTCAAGTGCATTTTGATATAGTGCCACCTCAGCCGGTAAACAGTAGAAATTTATAAACTATAACCGTTCCATTTAAGTGCTCTTGAATAATATGCTACCATGATGTGAACCGCGTGCCCGCGATGCCACACTTTTTCTGCTTCTGTAACACATTGCAAGTAGCTATAGCTGCAGCACCAGCAGCACCAGCATCGACAACATCGACATCGGCATCGACATTGGCAGTACTAACATCACTAATTAGGACCGCAAGAGAAATGGTATGAAATTCACGCCACATCATCATGTACAGACTCTTTTGGCCCCTGCATTTGCTCGCTCGCTGTTTCCTGCCAACATTTCTCATACGCACGAAACATTCACACAGTTAAAATATGCAAAATTAAAGCTGGTAAACCTACAATCACTTAAACAAAAACTGAAAACAATCTAAGAACATTAAAAAGTTTTCGCTGTCGTTGTCGTTGTCCTTGTCAGCGATGTTTGTTTGTGTAGTTGCTCTGTTGTGTTTCGGTTATATTACCATTGCCCTTTTTCCTTCTCCAGCTTCTTCTTCTTCTTCTCCTTCCTCGTCGTCATCGTTTTCTTCATTGTTTGCTCATATCAAACGTTATGGTATAGTTTATTTGCGAATAAAACCGTTTGGCGGAGAGCAAGTAAACGACGACTAAGAGCGATTTTCAATGCGCATTTTGTAGCGAGGACAATGAATGTGAAACACTGAACTGGCAACAACAACAAAACTAACAACATTTACCATAAGTCGTACTCTACACATACGAAACCGTACCGCAAGTGAAAATTGTGTGCATCGATTGGATTATGAACAAAAATCCGCGAACAATATCATGTGAATGAAATAATGGTGGTGCTGGTGCTGGTGGATGGAAGGTTGAGAGAAACAAACATAGAACAAAACAGATAATACGGTTGCGGCATCGTCAATTGAAAATAAAATGAAATAGCGCGGCGCATTGGTATACCACCAAAAGATGGCAAAGAAGTTTCAAAGCGTTTAATAACACGATTTATGCGACGGAAAACTGCATCAGAATGCACAGCGCACTCCTTTTGTCGTTTCACCTCCGTTCTTTTTGCACAACCACAATCATCCCACTTTTTCATTCGTTTGATCAACAGCTCCGAGATGCTAGAAAGTGCTATCGAATTACTTTTAGTTAGCTTAAAGTTTTTCGCTCATTCACCTTTTGCGTGTTTGTTTTGGCTGTTTCATGTTGCACTTCTTTATTGCTTTCGTTTTGTTCACTTCATCGCGCACCAAATGTTGCTTGCTCTTGTTCTTCTTGTTCACGCTCTATTTTGAGTGTGCTGTCTTTTGGCGATTTGCTTCGTTAGCTCTTCGTCGCTTTTTTCTTTCGTTGCAGGTGACGAGATAATGAATAATGCATTCAATTTGATGCAGTCTCTGTTTTACCTTAACAAGCAATCACACACAACTGCACTTTTGCAGGAACTTTGAGTATAAATTAGGCATTGATTATTCAAAGCACCCAATTTTGCTTTCTTATCATTCTTTTGTGCGAATGGGCGATCACAATGTGAAACTAGTTGATTTGATTTCTTAAAATAGTCCCTGTGATGAGCAATCGATGTAATTGAAATTGATAGGTTACGACTGTGAGATTTGGTTGTAATTTTGCACAATGGCACAAAACAGTATAATCGTCCATTTTCTTGAGTATCCATAGCTAATTATAGGTGTTTATCTGATTTGCAATAATAAAATCCAGGTATCAATAGCGTTGATTATTGTTCAATCTGATTTTGATATGCGCATTAATAGCACTTTCGTGTTGAATAATTCCTGCAATTTCTGGAGGCGATGCGGCGGTAGCAGCGACAGCAGTTGCCATTTGACAGCAACCGTAACACTAGCACCAGCAAGTGTGCACTATATGCTGCTCTATTTCGATACTTACACTGTGTCTATATTTATGCTTAATCCAATAATAACAACACAGCAACAATGTGCTTGCTGTGTTGCACACATTTTAAGTGTTGCGTCGATCAATATCTACTTACCACATACTTACGGCTCTCAGTTATGACCCTTTTGTGGAAAAGTTGTGTCCCAAGACTTGACTCAAATGAATAAATTCAACAACTATTGCGGTTCAACAAAACTATTTTGTTCCATTGTTTTGCTTTCATTTTCCTCAATGATTTTCGCTCTTCATCTCGAGTAGAAGTAGGGAAAAAAAACGATGTTAAGAATGAAAGCAAAAAAAAAAATATGAAGAAAAACCGAAAGTTTCACAAGTTTGCTAAGAATGTTCGCCAATTCAAGTGAACACACAAGTATTTTAGCTCAGTAGGCTCAATACACGCAATTTATTTTATAAGTTTTCAAAATGTGTTTACCATGACCTACATACACATGCTATTTATAAATAATTTTGAAGAAGTCTGATGACATTCAAACTTTTCCGCAACCATAAACAAACCGAAAAGCACTAAGAACTCAAAAGTGAGTGAGAATTCATTGGGGACGAATGACGACGACGGCGGCAGCAGCGAGAAGAGGGCCACTTGTTTTTCACCAAAAAAATAAGTTTGAATTAATCAGTTGATTCATAAAGTTTCCGTTTGCACACACACACAGAGAGAGAGAGAGAGAGAGAGGGAGATCCACATAGAATATGTCTTTTAAAATGTGAAACGACTTTATTTTTCATACCGTTGCGTGTCAAACTTATTGCTTATAAATAAATAATTAAAGCAATTTCCGACTTGCTAAAATCATCCGCATTTTGCTGTAAATATTCCGACATTTTACATCCGATTGTTTGTTTTATGGCACAAACATTTCAAAATTCAATAAATTATACAATAACCGGTTTCAATTTCATAATCTAAGCCTTTATGTTTACCCAGAAGATGTTTATATACACATCATATTTTCACTCTACAACTTTAATTGGATAACTAACATTTTCAATAAAATCATATATAATACGCATTCTCGCTCGCTATCCCTCTCTCTCTCTCTATCTCTCTCTCTCTCTCTCTCTTTCCCTTTCTATCTTTCGTTTGTTAAGACGGCCAAAATAATATTTGGGCTCCCAGCGTAATGTGATGGAAAATATTGCTGATCAAATAGTTCAGTTTTTGAAATAGCTGTATAGCAAATATAGTGAGATTATGTTGTGTGCTGCTGTTGCACATGAGCAAATATGAACATTGAAATGATGATTTTGAAAATTCGTTCGATATCTACATTAAGGCTAAAAACAATTTAATTTTATAAATATGAATGAAAATTGGAGCTCGATTCGATTCGGTTCAATTCATTCTGTATTGCTTTTGCCAATCTACTTGCTATAAGCAGTTTAGTAAAACTTAAATTTAATCCGATCCACGACATTTTAAATTAATGCCCGCTTCAATCAATTCGCATTAAATGCTATGTAATTTGGTTCAAGCAGCAACTGTGTTTGCCAAGTACAAATCAGCAAATGTTATCATTTTGCACATAAATGCCCGTCATTGGGATGCGGGATGTTTTGTTGACTTAAAAAAATATTGCAATGCAAACGACGATTGCAGTAATAAAGTATGCGGTGCTTGGTGTGATGCCGACGAAATGTGACGATGCTTTTGAATCCTCTGCTTCAATGCAAACATTCAGGCAGCCAGACCATTTGCGAGCGGGTGCACAATAGACATACACCCACAAAGGTTGCAAAGAAAACGGAAATAAACAGAGAAAATAAAAGTTGAATAGAGAATGCAGTAATAATATTGTCGTCTAAATTATTAATGCAATAACATTTGTTGTTGAAATGAATTATGTGATGATGATGATATAATAGCAATAGGAAGTTCAAACAAAAAGAAGCAATTCACAAGACAAAAGCTTGAGAAAATGATAAAAGCTACTACAATAACCATTTTCCAACCAACCAAAAATGTGCCACCCATAGTGAATGCAAACCACTTAATCAGTATAAAGAGTGTCATATGATTTGGTGTGAAAACACCACTGACACTCTTATCAAAGAACTATTCTCTGCCGCTTCATTCGACAGGAAGTTGACTTTTTAAATCTGCCATTAAAGTCGTTGTGCTTAGAAGTCATTATTGTATATTCGCGCAAAGACATTTCAAACATTTAATCAAATTATCTATTCATGCGACAAATTGAGTGAAAATAGTTACTAAACTAGCTAAAATAACAATATAAATTATTATTTAGTTTCGAAATACTAGTGATGTGTGTAGTATCCCCTATCCTATTATATCGTATCGCATGTGGTGAAGGGCGAGTCTCAGAATCAATTAAATAATCCAAATGAGAGTAGCAAAATTAAATTCAAACCACTCGCACGTATTGTGTGCAAGCTTGGAGCTTAACTACATCCAATGTGTGTGCGTGTGTGTAGATGAGCGTTAAAGGCAACGAGTATGAGAGAGAGGATTTTTCGTTTGCAACTAAAATGTGTAATGTCTTTGCCACAGGCTATTGCCATCGATATTGATACATAATCCCATCATAATACCGCTTCATCTGGCTACACATTTACAAAAAGATCCAACAAACGATGACAAGAACCCAGAAGCGTTAGCACACACACACACACAAACACCTAATCGCCTTTCTCTCTCTTTCTCTCTCTCACGTCTGCATTCATTGATATGTCAATTCAAGTGAATATGTTTGCGATTAAAGGCACTATGATGCGATGCGATGTGTTGTGTATTATTGTTTTGCACGTGAGATTTGAGATGATGAATTTATTATGTGTGTTGGAAATAGATTGGTGGTGTTTGTGTATACCCTTCATTATTGTGATTTTAAAGTGATTTTCTATGCGTTTCGACAAGCACATAGCCATCGACCCAGACTCTTTCTCTCCTGATTGTAAATGGTACACAGGTTTGTTCAATCAAAATTTGAATCGCCTATTGTACGCATGAATGCCGAATGATTTTGCGAAAATATTTGATGTGTTGCGGAAGTTGCTCGGAGCTAATTGTGGAATGGGGCGGTGAAATAGAGAACGAAGGACAAACAGAGACACAGAAAGACTGAACAAGTAAAGGCAAAAGGTGCATGGGATAATATAATGTGAGATGAAATGATTGCATGAAAATAAAAGACGAAAAAAAACCCATTTAGCGGCTGTGTCAAGCAAAGAATTTGTTCGGCAGGTCGATGAAACGGCTCCTCTAATTATTATGTGTTATCCACTAATGTGGATTATGTGGAGTGAAGTTCATTATGCAGAATTCTTGAGGCGCAAATAGAGTGAGGGTGAGATGGTGTGTGTGTGTGTGTATTGTGTTGTGCCACACTCACATCACCTGTGATAAATGTAGGCTTCAACGGCAACGCTATCAAATAATCGTAAGCGATTGAGCAAGCGAGCGAGAGTGGAAATGACATGTCAGTCAAAGTAAAGAAAACATTAACTAATTCATTGGCACTAAACTCACACACGCGCTGTATTAATGTGTGTAATAAATTCTACTTTTGAGATGTGGCGGAATTATATAAAAAAAATTCTAATAAAATTTAGATATGTGTATTAAATAAACATTTGCATAATATACTGTCATATACAGATGTACTGAAATACTTTGCAAACAATAGCTCATTCTTTGAGGTGAGTTCAAGGCGTGCAAGCGTGTGAACAGCCGATTTCTATCGCTTTCTCTCTCTCTCTCTCTGTGTGTGTGTCTGTCGCTACCAAGCTGGATCGTGCTCTCTGGTTCTCGCCCGCCCGCGCGTCAAACAAATTGAACATAAGATAAGAGCATTTTAACGAAAATGATGATAGAGATGTGAATGCCACTGATGCGAGTTAGATGATCTGTTGCGATGATGGAAAACACTTGAAGAATTTCTACCTGAAGCGTTTTACACATATTTTCTCTGTCTAAGCATAGGTGTCACATGATGTGGCAGCGATTCGAGCGCATTTTTTCGCCTAATTTTGACGTTTATGTTTGCTTTTGTTTATGTTGGCGGTTAATGCGTGTGTGCACGCCACGCATTTGTCTGCGTATATTGCATTTAAGGCGTATAAAAGCGAATGGTTTATCCTCGCTCGCTAAGCAAAAAAAAACCAAATGCACAGCATCATCAACGGCAGCGGTGAATGAATAGCGGTGGCTGCTGCGATAGTAACGGCGGCAGGGTGTGAGTGACGATGACAATTAAAGATACACACTATACGTAAAACCGTTATTTATTTGATTAATTCATGTATAATTCGTGTGCCTTGAAACTTGGCCTTGTACCATAAATACACTTGATAGGTCATCAAAGTTGATCTAAGGCAAGGAAACTACGTAGCTAAACACAATATCAATGGTGAATGGCGAGGAAATAAAACAAAACGATTCAACGACAAAACGAAAGCGAACAACTAAATATTCATTTAATGAGTGTGGCGTAAATAATAAAGTACACTGCAAATGGTACGTGGGCCAAGTGGAAAATTGATCTAAATGAAAATAAATGGCACAAAATTTGCACCCTGTACGTGCTGGCGTAGATGTGTGTATGTTTGTTTGTGTGATAGAATATGTCGTTCAGTGAATCGAGATTAAGGGGAAACGCATTTGCTACGCCAATGAAATAGGATTCTTGTCTGGCTAATGTTGAAAAATTGGAAAATCCCGAAATAAATTAATGTTTTTTGTTCATTGACGTTGTTGTTTCTGTTTGCCAAGCAAACTGCACAACGCCGTTCATGGGTTCATTTGCAATTTGATTTTAGTTTTGCTTGACGCCACACCAATATGGAATTGTGGATAAAATGCGTTTCCCCTTGTTGTCAGTGTCGGCTCAATCTTATATTTGTATGGTGTGCGATTAGTTGGCGCGTAAAATGTGCTCATCTTCCAGTCTCTCGCCATATATATACTCTGTACGCATAGGCAAACAAAATTAAAATGAATTGGTATGTGCGGAATTTGCGGCCTAAAATAAGACATAAACTTCTAAGTCGAGCATTTTACTCAATTAAATATTCATAGGTAAATGTTTATCTAATCTGGTTTTTAGATAAATTGTTTTTTGATTAATTACTTACCGTCACAAAACCACTTATCGTCAGATTCCACGTATTCGGTTTTGCACATACACACCGTTTGTGCTCGGCAATAGGCATGGGCAATGCAGTGATTGTCGTAAATGCATGGCATACCGACCGCTGCAAAATCACCACCAAACAAACAAATAAACGGACCGAAAAAATATTGAATGTTAGTTAAGTCACATACATGCACACGGGCCAGCAGCACACATACTCGTTTATTATTCACACAAAATAGCAATTTAGTTTGTGCGTCGAAAAATGGAACAACAAGGTGCTTTAACTAAAAACAATATTGAATGTTGCGATCGATTTTGTTGTCATAGATTTCGGGCAAACCAGAGCGACAGAGAGAGAGAGAGAGAGAGAGAGAGAGAGAGAGAGAGAGAGAGAGAGAAAGAGAAAGAGAGTGGGAAGAGGGAGAGATTGGTGTGTAGCCATCATGTGCGACATGGAGATACATCGAAATACGGCTGGAACGTGCAAATCTTTTCCGAATTCCGTGCATGTGCTGCTAAACGCGTGTATATTATGCACACATTAAAAACTAGCATTTTTTTGATGCCACTCTCTTTAATTCCATTCCTATACAATTTTTTTTAGACTACTCTTTCTCCCTCTCTTTGATTCGATTTGGTCCTATTCACTCGCAAATGGTCTAGCAGCGGTCCTGGTGATGGAGAACGCATTTTTTTTGTTAGCATCGAGTGTAGTTGGTGTTAGCCAACAAGGTTTGGCCGTTGTAGATTTTTTTTCTATCCCTCTCATGCATAAAAGCTTTTCGTGAGCATACAATACACATTTAATTCGAATACATTTTGTTTCGAAGTTCCGACGTCATTTGTCGTCGCCTTTCTAGAAATTCCGTTCACGAAACTAAATATAAAAATGCACACAAACAATACGTGTGCGAGAGCAAACAAGCGTTGTCGGTTTTCTTTGTATTTTCTACTCCGATTTTCCTTATCCACTAACTCGATCTTTTCTTCTTCTTCTTTTCATTTCTTTTTTTCCCTTCTCTCACGCTCTCTCGTTTTGCAAGACACATGAAACACACGGTGTGTTGTGCTCAGCTCAGCTCAGCTCCCGCTTCAGCTCTACAGCAAACTTTTGTGTATGAGTCAATAAAAATATGTCTGTATAAATTGGTTATATTCTTTTGCTATGTGTGTACGTTTTATAGCACTACATGAAATGTAGAGCTACTGATCTGCTTCTTTTTTTCTTAGATACTTTTCGAGTGTTGAAACAAATTATGGTGAATTTGAATTTTATGCTCATATTTTTTATTTAATTTAAAACAGTGGCAGTAACGACAAATAAGTGCATAATATTTCAAAGCGCTAATCAAATTTTTATTATCGAATGTTTTTTAAAAATTACATTAATTTTTCCTATAATATTTTCTGTGTCTTGAACAGAATTAAAGTGATTTTAGATTCAATGCTCATATTTTTTATTTAATAACCAAAGGCAGTATATTCCAAAAAAGAAATAAAACCAAGATCTTGTAATTCATTTTGCAAATAAATATATTACTTCAAAGTTACTTTGATGAAATGCATTTCATGTAGTGCGCCAAAAAATAGTTTGTTGTGAAACAACAAAATAGTTTAAGTAACAAAAAACTCAAGAACGCAGAGCGGAGCGAAGCGAAGCTCTGCAGTCTTGTTTTCTTCTGCTTTCTCTTCTCTTCTTTCTCTCTCCATTTTGGAAATGTTAAAAAGATTTTCGAGTAAACATTTGGCAAGTGTAAACAAACGAGAGTATTATGAGATGAATTTAAAATATTTACTATTTTGTATTCGTAAGAAGAACTTTTTTACGTGCTAGAAATTATTTCTTCCTTTCACTCAAGTGCTCAAGATGCTGGTTTTTCCCTTCTCTCTCCCTTTCTTTTCCTTCACATTTTTTTTCTCTGCTCCTCTACATCTCTGTGTGTATGTTGGCACAAATTTGTTCTCGCAAATGTTTCGTCTATGCTTCCGTCATTTTGAGTTTTATACGTAAAAAAAGATGTTCGAATCTCTTTCAGCTGGCATCTATGATGGCAACATTTTTTTTTCTTCTTTCGGTGGAGGATTTTACCCTTCAAGATGTGAACATTTTACGATATTACATGCATTGATGTTGCATTCGCTTTGTCGGATTATGCATGTTTAATAATAATTGTTTATGTCGCAAACAGACACAAAACTGAAACCGATATCAAAGCTTTTGCGCTGCTGAGCGTTCCAACAAAAGTACTTTTTTTCTTTTAGTAAAGTAATTTATGGAAATCGATCGATGAATGAAAGTGCTTATCACTTTTTTCGCATCGATGAAAACTCCTTTCTTCTCCGTCGTCTCGTCTCTGTCATACCATCACTCTGGAATTATCGCACGTGTAAAAGTGAAAATTACATGTTACAATGCTTCGATTGGCGTAAATCAAAGGCGCAATTTATTTAGATATCAATCAATGTGCAGTGCAACAAATTAGAAATCCAGGTGATTTCATGCGAAGCGTTTTTCGCACCAATCCACAATGTTGTTGTCGTTATGAAATTGCCCTTTGTTATAACAAAGATGAAGTTTTATCTTTTGCGGTTTGAGTTATTTATTAACATTGAGCGCATTAGCTTAGTTTCAAGCCCAATGAAAACTTAGTATTGGTTATATATACAGCAGACCACACTGATATGGGCTTGGAAAATATTCCATAAATTATTCGTCACACGGTCGTTAAGTAAATTCACCGGAAGCCAAAATCGAAAATCATATGTACAAAGGGCGAAGTGTAAGGTAAATCGAGGAATAAAATTGCGGGTGCTGTGATATATTTGTACAACTATTCTACATCGGTGTGTACCAGCCACCAATTGGTAAGTTAGTCGGTTGGTTGGTTCATTGGTGCATGTGTGAATGTGTTTGTATGTGTATACTGTGGCCGGGGCAATTCGTGATAAAGCGAGTCAGATGGCATAGATCTTTTACCAGAATGACGACACATACACATAGTAGTATATTTATGGAACGTGTCTGATCGATACGATTAGTTGTTTCAATTGTAATAAAGAAAAAATTATGTGGAAATCGTTCGTTAATTTATTTGCGATAAATGCTTAACGTCTAATTAATTGCTACGCAAGCAACGCTCCCGCTCTCGCTCTCTCTCTCTCTCTCTCTCTCTCTATCTCCAATTGAATGTCCGAGAATGAAAACGCAACTTCTATTCACAACACATATAAGTGAAACAAAAATAAAAAATTTATTGAAATGAAACAACAAAATCGAATTTTTTCAAAGTGTAACAACAAAAAAGATTTTTTTAAAGTGTAACATCGGTATGTTGTTACACTTACTACATACCGATGTT